ACAAAAAGCTAAACAGAAAAAATATGTATGCGTTGTATTTTTCTGCTGAAACATGTTAATTAATCTTTAAATTAATGTGGTATATATGACATACACATGCACGAATCGCCTCATTATGAGACTACACATGTATATACACCTCTAAACACGATCATACGAGCAAGAACGCGATATTTTGTTCAATATCTACTCGTTGTAAATCATACAATGTACATAAAGGTGTTAAGTTAATACAGACGTCCTGGTAATATTGTCATTATGTTTTTTCTTATATTATCAGGTAAAAGGTCGCCCTTTAGCATATGTTTTCTGTCAGTCCAGGTGTGTATACATGTAAGTCTCTACATATCTTGACATAAGTAAACTAACTGTTTGATTGACATACTAAACTTAGTGAGTAAATAAGAATACTTACAGCAACTTCTTGTTTATTCCATTTAGCGACGTTTCCATGTGGATTCTTATACCGTTATCTACACAGAAACGCCTAATGAAATAACAGTTATTGTTGTCGATAAATGTGTATTTTTAAAAATTTACTTTCATGTTTAATGGTGGCTAGAATGAAAAAAGCCAGAAATGCGTATTCGACAATTGTGTTCTGTTTTTTGTTTTGTTTTTTTTATATTTTTAAATTATTATTACATTTGTTTATTCACTTCACTTGGATACACATTGTATAGAACAATCTGTGTAGATAGTTTTGTAATGATACAATATAAGGAGTGGCATGTCACTTTGTTTCAATTTCCACAGTTTTGAGGGCGGTGGGGTAGCCTAGTGGTTAAAGCGTTCGCTCGTCACGCCGAAGACCCGGGTTCGATTCCCCACATGGGTACTATGTGTGAAGCCCATTTCTGGTGTCCCCCGCCGTGATATAGCTGGAATATTGTTAAAAGCGGCGTAAAACTGAACTCACTCACTCACTCCACAGTTGTGTATTTACTACGGGCATCACAGTGTATTAATGACGTTACGAGGTCTCTCACCTTTGTAACGTTTTGTTAATGTTTGTAATTTTGTGATAAAATCAAACTTTCTAATGTGTAATTTCTTTTGACCGGTAGTTTACACTAAAAGTTGTCGGAGACGCTGAAAACGTCATTGGATTAATCAACAATGGGATTGTTTTATCTCCGTAATAAACTGCTCATGTTCAAACCTCCGGCGTACTCGTCTCAAGTGAATGTGGTTTGACATGCCTGTGTCATCAATCTTACAGAAATACTATCAAGATGGTATAAAAGACTATGAAAAACACTCAAGCCTTCATTTGAGTAACATAAACTTTGAGTACCCATTATTACATTGTTTTTCTACTATAAAAAGGGCCACTGCTAGAATGGTGTCTGTCTTATGACCTTCTGTCTGACCCCTGGAGCGACACCTACCGAGCTGCGGGCGTGGACATCACTCAACCCACCCAGGTGGAACAAGACGTCCTGTGGATGCGGTCAAACTGTATTCAAGCAGCCTCATCTGGTCAGCGTGTGAGCAGACCCAGACCTGTCCCACGAGAATCGGGTAGCGACAACCATATATTAACGAGTTTGAAAAAGTTCATTTTTGGATATACTTTGGATTTACTTTTCTTGATTTACCTACGGATGAGAAGATGTCATAAGGTAAGAGATTGTTATGTAGCCACAAAATAAGAATATATATACGAAATACCTTTATATATACTGTCCATCAATGTATATTGATTAGCTATCTGTGGTACTTATTACATGGTATTTATGTTCGTATAATTGGGTTCTGAAGTGACCAACACCTGACCGTTTGGTTTAAACATATTTATTTCATGAAAAAGCAACGACAGAATTTTCATGAGCTGGATTGGTCAACAAGCTCAAAAGAACTTATATGAAGACCGCTCCAATATACATTGATATATGAAACAGTATATATCCAATTGTGATAGACGCTAGTACCTTTCACTAGTGATATACTTTCACCATACTTTACCTAAAAAACACCTGCGTGATGTTGCTGGGATAGTGCCAAAAGCGGCATAAAACCATACTCACTCTACAACAGCAAGGATTTTTTTACAAAAGAATAAGAAGTATGTTTTAGTTTTTCATAATTTTTCATAGCGTTTATTGACTTTCGTGTATTGTATATTCATACAACAAATGTAATTAGACAGATCCTGTCAACAGTTGGCCCTGGCAGTTCATATTGGACTTACGACTACATTTCCAAACTATCTTGGCTTTTCGACTTGAGTGTTTTGTGTACATATACCAATCCAAGACTAGCTTCAAACCACCCTTGTATTGCAAAGTCCATATTAGTTCAGTATGACAAAACCTGTGAGTGTATACCATGGTGTCATGAGGACTTTACGTACATTTAGTCTGTCGTACAGACCCTGAAGCAAATATATCCAAGAAAACCCACGCAAGTCTAGAAAATGTGGCAAGTTTAGATTTCCTCAGCTTCAGCTGAAAATGAAGAAAGTCTCAGGGCTCCTTTTCATTATATATATATATTTTTTTACTATGAACTTTTCTTCAGTAAAATATGTTCATTTCAGAGACTTGTTGTTAGTCTAACGCTCTTTCAACATTTAACCCAATACAAAGTAGGTTTAATCATGGATTTCTGAACTAAAATCTTATGCTATTTTTCAATCAACCGTGTTATTGAGACCAGCCCTCCTCAAGCATACTCCGATCATAGTATTATAAAGACGATTACAAGATATTTGATCCCAGACGGAAACATCAATCAGATTAGAAGATAACACATTTTCCGACAATTACGCTCTGTAAATGATATTACGTGAAAAACAAAGGATCTCATTTCCTGACATCTCAAATCGTTTATCACTAGGGTACACACAATAGTATTCGTTAACACCTGAGGAAAACAACTCATTCAGTAGCGGTGCTGTTCTTTGATCACCTGTAGCGCTACCTGGAGGCTAATTAGCAATGTAAACACGGGTCTCACAAATAAACATCTGTAATAAACACGCTCCAAACCGGGAGACTGGTCATATTTCGTGGTAATCTTACGCAAGAGATGGTTAATGAGACATACTTGTACATGAGAAAGGGCCTGGTCTCCTCATCCGATGTTTTAGTGTTTAATGATGGATGTCAGCTGCTGAGGCAGCCATCAATTTGACAGCTGAAGATTTCAATGTCGCCATTATATCCCGTTTAGTTGAGTGTACGTGTGAAAGAAACGTGGTTTCATCCTTCTGTACAATGGCTATTGTGTTTAATTTGTTTTAAAGTGCTAACGATGACAATTTTCCTATCTTTTTCTCGATAAACGTGATAACATTTTTCAGAATATACCTGAATACATATCGACTACATTAATTGTTTAAAGTGTGTACGCGCAGTCAATAGACGACGTGCTAGTCACTATAGTATTTCAGAAGTAAGGTGACGTCACGTTAAGAACAGATACGATAAACTGACTGCAAACATAATTAATAACTTACAATAACTCTTGGATAAGGAAAAAGGGTGTGTTTGCACGAACAGGTTCCAAATTCTACAAATAGGAAACTTAGATGTTTAATATTATTTATATTTTTATATGGCAAATTAGTCAGACGCAGAACTAGAAATAACTATATTTTATCTCAGGCCGATAAACTCAATGGCATAACAAATACAAATGTCATGATGGGGGAAAAAGCTTTATTAAAACTGATCTCGCAATAATTTTTACAAATTTTGCTTAGTTTTGTGCACATTGCAAAGAGATAGAAAAAAATAATATTTATGTAGATATAATTATCCAGAATGGGCGCTAAGAAATGTAATGATATTCGTCACCAATATCTAATACAGGTAGTACATGTGCGTTCTGGCTTGAGAAACTTCATGTTGTTCCCTCACTCGCTCTTTACTTCCATTACTGTTCAATATGCTATTAAATCGATTTAAAAACAAACAAAACAGTTCATTAAAACGTATCCAATTATGTAGACTTGAATATTAGTAAACATTTATTTAACCCGAGCATGTCAAACATTTCGCAACACTAATCTGTGCAAAATAAACAACGCCTTCTAGCTCAATAGTGCTCAATGGTGTTCTCCAGTGACAGGTACGTATGTTTACTAATTAATTTCCCGTCAATGCAAATCACCTGTCAATGTAATTAGCAAAAACAACAACCGGTGAAGTTCCGCAGCGTCGATAGATATGACAACCAACGTGTCACAGTCTCAGGGTACGAGAAGTCTGATATTAACGACATATTTACATTGCTCGGAATTAGCAGTCATTATAAGACAAATTCTTTTAATTAATTAGCTCGTGATATATCAGACTTACTGACGTAGTGGTGTATATAGACGAAATATCGTGACACGCGTGCACATTGCACACGTGAAACTTGGAACACGCACAGCAATTTAGTGATTTCAAACAGTAAAAGCAGATACTTAAGAAGATTGACATCGAAGCGCGGCGATCAGTTTCTTTTTTGACGTGATGGATACTGTTAATATTCTGGTGAGTGTTTTTCACGGGATACTTTTTTGCTTGCTGTCAAAGTTTATAGTATAATATACTTTTATAGTAGTATAATACTTTTTACGTTCTTGCTGCGTAGTAGTGTTACATAAATGAAACATTTCAGTGACTGTATTTGAAAAGATTTAAATTAAATGAAATGGAATTTTTAAAACTGAATTTGAAATAATTTGAATATATATGCTTATATTAAAAATCATTAAGATCTTTGTTTAGTGGATATATACAAAGCTCCTGCTAAATTGATTTATTTTATTATACCAATTATTTCAAGCCCTAATGTATGTATTATCAAGTTTAGTTTGACTTTCTAATCTTTTATCAAATAAATTCTGAAACTTATACAAGATAAAGGGTGAAAAGTCAGTCGATCAACTAGCCACGACACCCTTAGGCGTTCATGTTCATGTCTCGCGTGAAAACTAAGAGTCCACCTGTCAATCAAACGACCGGAAGTTATCGCTCACATGGCCTTCTGGGAAGGACGCGAAATTTGAATATGGCTACAGATGAAATCGACAACATTTTCTGTTAGTAAACAATGGCAAAGTAGTTTATCATCGCGTTTTCCATTAATATGACTGAAACGCCAAAGGGAAGAAGCAGAATAAGGTTTGTGTGTTATCATGGATAATTCATGTGTGATTTGTACGCCTCATATCTGTAATACGCGAACAAAGCAGGTGCCCCTCGGAAGAAAAATGTCTTCGAGATGGCGACACTGACTGATCTATTTGAACATCTAATTTATCCAACAAGCACTACTGTATGTCGATCTGTCCGGCCTGGCGTTTGAGCAGATTTGTCTTTATATTTGTGAGCCCATTTATCTTCTGAATGTGAAAAAATGTCCACGATGCTGCCAGGAACGTTCGGTCAGATTGTGCTCGTTTATCGCTTTCTATATTTCATCAATACTGTCTTGTCCATTGTCTATTGTCTTTCTTAAGGCCCAAATGAACTTGTTGCAGTTATGTCCGACGAGATTTGGAAATATAATTGCAACTTTTGCTACATGTACGAGTTACTCGTATTGCCAAATTTGCTAGACTTCAAATCCAGTAAGATGAACATGATATGTTCGCACAACCCCAAATATAAATCAGACTTATGTGGTAGCAAGCTTTACAACATTGTTTCTTGCAAGATTATTTTACTAACAATTTCAAAGATGTATTGAATTATGATATACAGCTTGGAAATAAACCCATGTTTTACACAACACAGAAATATATAAATGTACAGTAGTGAGTACTGTAAAGAATAAATGAAAAAAATGAATTCCATGAAGCATATGTGTAATAATATTTATTGCAAAAATTCTTGATGAGAAACGTAAAGATCCTGTAATGAAAATTTCATTCTGTACGCTACACAATTTCATTACTTACAGGGTCTCTATAGTTCAACGCAGACCCCTTAAAATTGCATTTTAGGGCTTTCTTGGTATATCAAGGTAAAATTTGTCAGTATTTAAACATTTTTCAAACATAATATATCTAGTGAGAAATGAGGCTACTAACTTCAGACAAAAAGCAAACCGTCTCATGTACAATGATGGCGATGATGACAATATAAAGATTGAGGCTTCTTCACAAAAGGCAAAGGTCTGTTTTGGGGTTGGACCATTATGGATACGAGGAATTGAATGGCCACAGATTGCAATGGTCCAGTTAACAGAATTCCATCCTATTGTCCTTGTCTCCTGTTGTCCATTTCGCAGACCGCTAACCCTCAGGGCTGAATGAACACAGTGACACTTGAATACCAGTGGGGCTGGATAGAAAGTCTTCTGAGAGTCGCTTGTATGCAGACTTTGTAAACATCAGTTGACTGTGACTGACTAAATTGTCTAAAATTGGGTTCTATAAATTAGTAGGAGGATTTGCTTGGTAGAACAGCTATGGCTGTAGTAGTGAAAGGATTGGTAGAAGTCACTGGAATGAAATGATGCAGCATGATTTTCATGGACAAATGAGAAAGGTGAATTTAACAGCACACCTTTGATGTAACTAAACAGGAAGAACTTACTACTTGAAATAGAAAATACATTTTGAAAACCCAACTGAATGTAGACTTTTCAGCAACCAGCTCGACATCTTTGTGTAATGGATGTGTTAAGTTTACTTCATGGTAAACAAGTTCTTGTTATAGAAAGGTGCAGTATCTAGAAGTATACCATATGGTGAACTCTTGACCATATGGTCAAAACTGAAAAAGAAATTCACCTAGATAGTGCTTGCAGGGATTGCATTGTATTCAGCATCTATCTGGGGTTTTATTCCCAAGAATCATCAACTTCAGCAACTTGTTTTGGGTCTTGGTTAGTCACACTGATGAAACTGCTTATGTCGTGAAAATGGTTACTAACAGTAACCAGGAACATGAATATAGTAAAATTTAAGAATTTCTTAATGGAGAACAGACAGTTCTGGGCAGTACAGTGATGAGCAAAAATATCTGACCCTTTTGTAATAACAGCTGAGATAGCTCTGTGGCTATACAACACTAAACGACCAAGCAATCGAACATGTTTTCTCAAAATCGAAACACAATTTTGGAACATTTGTTTGCATTAACAATATTTGTTTTTGTCTACATGTTTTTTCTATAATTTGTTTTTACTATTTTTGTGCATTAACAAACTCAACGGGACAATTTGATAAATGATGCTAACTAAATATTTTTGATGATTGTAATGACCCAATTATCAATTATGAGATTTTAACCAATTCCCAACACTAGTTTAAAGGTACTAACACCGTGATCAGGCAAGTGATTGTGTTAGTATCCACACCAAAATGTGAAGAACTATCTCCCCTGTTCATCATAGCCACTGTATGCGACTCCAGGAACTGTACATATATACTTCATGTATATCAGTATCTGTAATACTTGTTCCTTGTTTGCAGTGAGGAGCCTTGCCTGTCTGACGGGGGAGAATGAAGTTTTCTTTGGTGACATCACCCAGCGGGAGAGACGTCGTGCAGTGAAGTATTCCCGTCGTCGCACCGTCATCTACGTTCCCGGATTCAGGAAAGACAAGAGATTGATGAGATACAGTCAAGAGTTCACCCCAGACGGCCCTTTCATATATGCCCATGAAGAAGTAACCTCTGATGTGTGTGTGAGTGAGAGTTCATCCGACACCTCGTTGACCAAAGACAAGGAAGTGACTGTGAAAGACAAAGACGTTGTGAAGAAGCTGTTTGCATCTGAATCAACTGCAGGAGTTTGCAAACAGGGCAAAGAGGCTTCTGCTTCAAAGCCGTCACCACCGATCAAGGTCACCTTCAGCGAGTCTGCGTCTGCTGAGTCTGTGTCCAGTACGTCTGCCATGAGTTCCCCCTGTATTATGGAGGGGGGAGGCGAATGTATGGCCATGGACCACTGCAGCAGTTTTCTGTCAAAAAACACTGAAATCTCAAGCAAACTATTCGACAGTGGTGTAGACTGTGGGGTTGGAGATTCCATGCTTTCCTCGTCCAAACTTTCTGAATGCATGTCTCTCAGGACCGAGTCCGGGATTACCATTCGTGAGAAAGACACCAAGTCAGTGCTATCAAACTTCTTCGAAAATGACAGTGGGGAAAATGATGAGATGGTTTTTGCTCAGCCTCGCAGCAGACTGGGGTTCGCCCATTCGTCTCAGATTGCATCAGTGAGTGACAATGTTCTGTCGAACACCCTCCCACGAAAGTTTGGACACTCTCACCATGCTGGAACTAACTATGCAGGTTCATTCTTGTCCGATATGGAACATGCCGAGAGCGTTAGTGACATTAGTGATAATGATGGATTTAAAAGACCTTTCCGGCTTCAAGGAGTGTTGGGTATGCAGACTTGTCAGACCAACATCAGCACCCCACGAATGGCTTCCACAGCACCCAGCTTCCCTTTTGCAAGTCCACATCTCCTAGTCAGCCCCATTGCAACATACAAAGCCAATCCCAGTAATGAATCAGTTGCCTCTTCGAAAAGTTCCGACTCGACTCCGTCCAAGTTGGTTAAGAGTTCGGTTAGTGCTTTCTCCTCCTTCCCAGCATCCACGGCGGTCAGGAGAAGTCTTCGTAAGAAGACCATGGATGAGAGCAGCATGTTGGTAGAACCAAAGATTAACCTGTCAGACTCTGATGTAACTAAGCGTGATTTTGGTGTAGGGACCAGCGACATGGTTACATCATGTGGGAATACTACCTGTCCAGGAATGTCGGACTCTCAAGTGTCCCATATCTCAAGAGATGAGAGCAGTTCCGCAACCGTTACAAACTCAGTGCCACCCAAACCTGTGATGACCACCACGTCCACCCAATCAGACTATCTCTGTCTACCGTCCACCCTGGCTGGTCAGCAGCTGTTGCTGGTCAAGAGCAGCGAACTTGCGAAGGGACAGCTAGAAAGTTCTCCCGAGTCACTTGTTTCCCAGTCATCTTGGTCAGATCTTAAACTATCCGCTTTGGGTATCAACAAAGAGCGTTTGTGTTTCGCAACAGTGTCGTCAGATTCCTCGAGCCTTCCAACACAGAGCAGTGACACAAATGTGACAACATCATCAGATGTTCAGAAACCCGATCTGGTCAGTGAAAGTGATAAACCAGTTGGTCAAAGGTCAGAAGTTAGAGATGATGCAGGTCAGAGGTCAGAGGTTAGGGAGGAGCAAGTTCTGGAGTCTCTGGGAAACAAACAAAGAAGTTTGAATGTCAATTCGTCTTCTCCATCCACTGAATGTGAGCTGGGCATGAGCGAGGAGTACTTCACCCTTAATGACAATGAATCAAGCACACCAGACTTGTTCAAATCTCACAAATGTGATGATTATAAAGATGGTGAATTCAGTGGCGATACCCAGTCACAAACTGATGACCAAGACGATGATGATATTGACTCATCAGAACTAGACACTTTACTCCCTGGACCAGATTGTCAAACGACAATACTCGACAATGATTATTCACCCATCAAAGGTCGAGGTTATGAACGGCGACAGAGACAGTTTCAACAGCGTCCAGGGTTGATCTGGCCGAACCGATACATGTCCGACTCTGAAAGCAGTGAAACAGAAGATCTGGGCGAACATTCTTTCGACAGCGGCAGTTCGGATTCATCGCTCCTGGACTACAGTGCGTCCGATTCTTTCGAGGCGATGAGTCCACCGCCCAAACCCGAGCCGGTCATCATCAATGATGGGAAGCTGAAACCATGGCGACCACCAGGTCACGTGGAGGTCAAAGTTAAAAAAAGCTCTGAAGGCAAGTTCCTTTCGCGAACAGGCTTTCAGGCAAGACTTAGAAAAATAAAAGAAATGACAGGTACTTATGTAACCATACTGTCGTAGATCACTGCATGCTTGGGCTTAAGTTATCTCCTGTTAATGTATCTCTGTTTTCTGTTTGTTTACATATTTTCTTTCACCATTTTCCTCTTTTCTTCTTTAATAGCTGAACTAAACAAAAGTACTCTTTCATTCAAAACACTCATCAGTGTCATTAATCAATTATGTAATAGTTTTTTAGAGAGACCCTCAGGCATGGAAATTGTTTTGATGCTCTAGGGATTGCAAACAATAAGAGCATTGTTTCCTGAACTTGCTCATCTTCATGAAACAACAGATGGTTTTGTACTTCTCCAGAAATTCATCAGGACAATTACCCACTTAAACTGGCACATTTATTCATTGAAAAGGTTTGAAAACTGATACTGTCCCAAGAGACATCAATACAGATAACGTTTCATGCCATGAGATTTTATAGAAAGAAAATGGTGTAAGAAAGTCATTTCATCTGAGGGGGAAACCTCAGCTTATCAAGTCGCAATTTATTTGGTGTTCAAAGATAAATCTGTTAAAAGTGTTATCCTTTACAACTTTTAGAAATTGCGAATTGATAAACTGAGGTTTCACTCAGTGGATTTTGTTGCCTTCTTGTGTTCAGGTACACCAGTTAATGCATGCAGTGATATTTCTCACTCTGTAAATGGGAACACTCCACCTGGTTAACTGTAAAGTAACTCACCGTCTAATATGTTTTTCTTCTCCTCCAGTTAAGGGAACTAAGAAAGGATCGTCCTTCAGGTTTGGAAGTTCATCCAGCAATAAGGAGAACCAGACCAAAGGAAGGCTATACCCGAAGGTGAGTAAACAATGGCATCCACACACTCATACTTTGCTGTTCCTTGCTTCTATAATGTTGAGTTTCAATACAAAATGTCTCCCTGTTCCCAACTCCATCTCCGCTTCTGCACCCAACCAATCCCACACCCATCTTCACTCCACTCGTTCTCCACTCAACACCTCTCCCCTTCCTCTCCGCTCCGCTCCCATCCTCTCCCCACCCATATCTCCTCTCCACTCCACTCCACTTCACCCTACTCTGCTCCCCTTCTCACCACTCCCATCCTCTCCCCACCCCTTCTCCCAGCTTTTTCAGTGTTCCTCCTAGATAATTAAGTTTATACACGGACTTTGTGAATGATAATAACATGTCTCTATGCTCTGACATACAGTTCCCAAGAATTTCTCACCTTATGAAGGGAAAATAAGTAAGCAAATATTTTAATCATCAAATGTAAAAGTGAGGGCTTTTTTCTGACAGATATCCATCCCCTCCTCTCCCTCCCCTTTCTCACTCAATGTAAAACTTTTGTATCTTTCTCACCGCATCGGGCGCCCATCTCCATGAATCGCCACACCACTACCTTCTCCTCTCCCTTCCCTCACCTCTCCCTCTCCCCACTTGTCACCATCCCTCCTCTCCTCACCCCTTTCTCCCACTCCTCCCATCCTCCCCTCTCTCACCACTCCCTCCCATCCCTTCCACCTCCCCCTTCCACTCACCACTCCCTCCCCTCCTCTCCTTCCCCTTCTCACCCCTCCCCCCCTCTCCTCTCTCAGCTCCCCTTTCTCACCACTCCTCTCCCTCTCTCCCCACCCCCCCTCACCCCCTTCTCACCGCCTCAGCTCCTCCCTTCTCACCACTCCCTCCCATCCTCTCTGCCTCCTTTCTCTCACCTCCCTCCCTCCCTCTCTCCCCCACCCCTTCTCTCTCCAGCTCCCCCTTCTCACCCACCCCTCCCATCCCTTCAGCTCTCCCCCTTCTCCACTCCTCCCCCTTCACCACCCTTTATCTCCCAGATCCTCCTTCCTCCCACACAGCTCCCCTCCCATCCTCTCCCCACCCCTTCCCTCCCATCCTCTCCCCACCCCATCTTCCCTCTCCCTCCCCTTCTCACCTCCCATCCTCCCCCTCCCCACCCCTCTCTCCTCTCCACCTCCCCCTTCTCACCCCTCCCTCCCATCCTCCTCCCACTTCCAGCCCCTATTTCCTCTGTTCCAGTCCATTTAAGTTTTCAAATATAGTACCTACCCTCTATATGAAAATGCTGTTCATATTTTGAAATCAATTTCTATTTGAGGCTTGTCAACTATTACTGAGCTGGCAAGTCAGTTGCTGCTTCAACAAAGATTTGTGTTCTTACAAAACTGTTATTTCTTTCAGTCACCGCTTCCAAAGAACGATTGCAAGTCGGACAAAGACAAGAAAAAAACACCCTGTCGTAGAAAGAAGCAGTCTGACCTGGTACATAGTGCTAAATACTTAAACACTTAAAATACTTATCTGCGCCATCTTTCTGAAACATTGTACTGAGATAAAGTGAAAATGAAAGGATCTTTGAATCCATTTTTAAGTTTATCTGTGATATTAATCGTTAATATTAAGCATTGTTCAAAATTAGGTGTGGTAGCCAAGGAGTCATTGTTCTAATCTATTAAAGACAAGGGGCAGTGGGTAGCTTAGTGGTTAGAGCGTTCGCTCGTCACACAGGAGACCCAGGTTCGATTCCCCACATGGGTACAACGTGTGAAGCCAATTTCTGGTGTCCCCTGCCGTGATATTGCTGGAATATTGCTAAAAGCAGCGTAAAACTTACTCACCCGCTCACAAAGACAAAGGAGGTTTCAGACTCCAGTAACATGAAGCGAACTTAAGGACCCCCAAAACACACCTTAATTCCAGACATTACAAATATTTCAGACCCAGATTGGTGTCAGCGTAAATTTATAGGACACTTGGCGTTAAATCATGAATTCTTTTGTATTGTGTTACATTTTTACAGACAGAAAAGTATTTCCATCAGTTCAATAATTATTTGTATTTCAATGTCAGTAAGTTCAACATCTTTCTCTCTTTAGACTGAGATGGAGATTGACGAGATGACGAAGCTACACACCACCTGTAACGGTCAGCGTGTCGTCCGCTACCTCAACTTCTCCGAGTCCCCCATGATCATCAAGCACTACCCAGGTAAGACAACCCATTTACTCATTGCTATGGTAACAAGCTATAATAGAACACATGCAATTTCTGAACATTTCACGAAAAATGATATAAGCTGATATCCCCACTATTACTGTAAAGGTCATACATTTATAAAGGTCTCCAAAAGCCAGATCTTGTTTCATTTGGTTAATAATAAAATCGTTCTCTTCAGATCTTCATCATTAAGTAGTTTTTACAGAAATACAGTAAAATAGATAAAATCCATGGTGCAGGAAACCAACCAGTGACTTCAAATATTTGTTCTTCAGAGGGGTTGGGTAGCCTAGTGGTTAAAGCGTTTGCTCAGAAGACCGAAGACCCAGGTTCTATTCCCCATATGTGTGAAACCCATTTCTGATGTCACCTGTCGTGATATAGCTGGAATATTGCTAAAAGCGGCGTAAAACCATTCTCACTTGTTCTACATATACATTTTGATTACCTACGAGGGCGAACATATCAGGGTTCATATTTTTCATACGATGCCCTAGGGCAAAATATCACTTTGTCATGGTTACATGACGTCATGAACAAGGCTATGACGTCACATTTCTTCTGCGACGTTGCGTTCTACATGCGGCTACGGCAGATAGCAAGCCCGTGTTTGAAAGTAGATTTGGGTATATTTTCCTCAATTTGACGACTTCGGTAATAAACAAAATATTATATGAGGGCCCATATCATACTATGTTTACGAAACTCGTGCCTAAATATCGGCATATCCCTCGCTCTCGCTCAGGAAATACCAACATTTAGGCACTCGTGTCGTAAACATAGTATGACATGGGCACTCATACAATATCCTCTATGTCCTTATTAACCCAACTGATCATTGTCCAGAAGGTCGCTCCGAATTTTCCTTTTTGGATCATTTATTCGTTCATGTTATAAAGAGTAGACAATATGATGAATGTGACCTTGACTGTTGCAGCTCCCAAGGAAGCTTCCAAACTCAGCTGGAGCAACACGCTGACCAACTGCGAGCTGACGTATCACTCCCCGACTCGAAAACCTTCCAAGCCAACAGCCAAACCTATACTCACACAGGTGAGCCCCTCTTGTCTTGTAGCCTAGTGGTTAAAGCGTTCACTTGTCATGCCGAAGACCCGAGTTCGATTCCCAACATGGGTAAAAGATATGAAACAATATCTGGTGTCCTCCGCCATGTTATTGCTAAAAGCTGCGTAAAAGTAAACTCACTCTCTTGTCTTGCTTCCAGCAAGTCAACACTGATATAATCAGACAGATGTGTATTTCAGCGGTTTCTTGGTGACACGTGTCAGTATTCTAGTATTTGGAAGTTTACATTTTCAAGGTCAAACATAAATGTCATCAAAGCATGGCTTTGAGAATACGGTGTTTGCGCGTCATGTTGAAAGTCTGGTTTCAATATCCACAGGTTATGCGAGTCCTTTTAACGGCATGCAGTCTTGGTATTGCTATTGTGGTGTAAATCAGTACTAACTGGGATGGATGTTTTTTCCATTATCTGTTTAATTGGGGGTTAATCCTGATGTATTTTCTTCTGCAGCGACCTCTGACCCACACCTACCCCTACAGTGACGATGTCCCCTCACCAATCATCTTGACGAGAACACGGCGGACACACACGCTGTCACAGAGAGTCACACAGCTGTGATCTCACACGTGTGTTAGCCTCACAGAGCCGGAAGACCTCGCCTCACATTAATGTGGTCGCTCTATCATTTCAAAACCCTGAATATTTTGTTGCGGAAGCCAGACTGACATATTCTGCGATCATCTATAAACAAATACTAGAATTATTTTTGTTTGACATGTAGATATTTTATAAATCTTTTGCCATCCTCTATACACGAATACTAGAGACATTTTTGTTTTCCATTTAGATTTTTGTTTGGGGGATAAATTAGAGCTTTAGCTTTTATCAAGACGAGATTAGTTTTCATTTTGATGAATTAGATGATGAGCAAATTTTGTATCTATTAAATTTCATCAAGCTTACTGTGATAGCTTAAAAATATCTTTCAAGTTATATTGATAAAGAGTATTAATATTTCACATCATTTTGCACGAAGTTATTTTTAACTCATAATTATGAATTTATAATGTAAAAAGGAACAAGAATGTTTTACAGATTTATAGTTTAAGGGTAACTCTTCTTATTCATACCACTAAAATATATGCATATATGATAACCATCAGTCTTATTTCAAAGATACCATTCCCTTCCCTGCTAACGTTGAGCTCATTCTCTGATGGCTAGCTGCTAATGATATGCAAAGGACTTGTCTGTGTAGATGAAAAATTATATCCAATGTATATTTGTGTACATAGAAGTTCCATAAACCTTAGCTTCAACTGTACATACAATGTCAGCATGTATATTAATGTACACAACTCCACAATGACAATCCATTCATCAATACCATTAAAACATAAGATAACAAATAAATGACAGAAATATTAAATAACATTTATGAAATATTTCTGAAATATTTCAACTCGCAAACTCCTTTTGAGCAGTTGAGAACAGAATGACTGCTTAGAGATTATCTATCCTGACATGAGTTTATGAAAGTCCGTAACGAAAGCATGTCTAACCTGTTCAGGATAACATCGCCTTTCTCCATCTTGGAACAAACCAGTATTATCTGAATAATGGCTCAGTGTAATACCTTCTCTGATCTCAGTACTTACTGTCTAGCCTTTTAGATGAGCCTTTACAGACTTGTTGATAGACTTTGTTCATAAAAAAATATTCTGTTTATTGAAATAGTATTATTGATATGCGTCAGAGACATTTTTGTCAATCAAATATTACACTTCTCAATCACAGATCAATACTTGAACTTGTTGTAAATTCTATTTCCTGAAATTGTATATTATGTACATTTGTCCCATTTTGTTCCCATATGTGTGCAATATGCGCAGAGATGTCATGTTAAGTTATTTTTGTTGATCCATGTTGTGTACAGTAGCTTGCTGCATGATAGGCAGGTGCCAGATGATAGCCTAGACGGCTACTGACTATATAGAGTTGCTATGGAAACTGGGATCTTGTGATACTGTTTGTGTGATCTGAGACAATTTTGGTGATAAAAGACAAAAAATGGTTGTACATGCCCCATGCTATTGGAAAAAATAAATGAATCTCAATTTATATTTTGGTTTGTTTTAATTTGGAACCTTTGTTTTGTTTTAATGGTAATATAGGAATGAACCTGTCCTGGTTATGTTGAGCACAAGGCAGGGTAACAAGAAGTATCATCATTTAGCGTCAGACCCGTGAACATCCGGATTAGAATTGATCTTCAGTAACCGATGCTTGTCGTAAGAGGCGACTAACGGGATCAGGTGGTCAGGTACCCCTGAACATCCGGGTTAGAATTGATCTTCAGTAACCTATGCTTGTCGTAAGAGGCGACTAATGGGATCGGGTGGTCAGGTACCCGTGAAGATCCGGGTTAGAATTGATCTTCAGTAACCCATGCTTGTAAGAGGTGACTAATGGGATCGAGTGGTCAGGCTCACTGACTTGTTGACACATGTCATCGGTTCCTAATTGCGCAGATCGATGCTCATTCTGTTGATCACTGGATTGTCTGGTCCGGACTCGCTTATTTATGGACCACTGCCATATAGCTGGAATATTGCCGAGTGCCGTGTAAAACTAAACTCACTCTTTTACCCTCTTTATGTATAGCTGGGCTACCATTCATGTCCACTAAATGGATATGCTTGATGTATTCTGACAGGTTTTATGGTAACATTCAGGATGACTTCTTTGATGGGCATTTTAGAAGTTGATGTGATGAAGAATGATGATAATTTTATGGATATCCAATTCACTTTATTCTGTGACAGCAACATTTCGACATAGATTCTAATGTCAAGTTGACAACATTAGAATCTGTGGAAACGTCCCCTTTCTGAGAATAAAGAAGTTGTATATCCATAAAATTATCATCATTCTTCTACAGTTAAGATGATTAAACATAAGTTGGGAGTGTGCTTCTGATTGTGCAACTACGGGGATCCAGCGGTCACAGTTGTCACATGTCATGGTATCCAGAATGCGGATCGATGTTCATGTCAGTCACTAGCTCGTCTGGTCCAGATTGTTTACAAACCGTCGCCATGTAGCTGGAACACTTCAGAGTGCGGCGTTAAAAAACAAACACGAAAACGATCTTTAAGATATAATTCATGTACCATGGGAAGTAATGAATAGTAATCAATGAGTAGGTAGAACAAAATGAAACTCTTGCCGAAAAATACCTTCTTGTTCAGGCGAACTGCTTTTTATCTCACACGAGTTTTCACTACGTTATTTTTTATTACACTTTCATGTGGCATTTTGCAGTGTTCTACAACTGTTGGACGGTGGGGTAGCATAGTGGTTAAAGCGTTGGCTCGTCACGCCGCATACCCGGGTTCGAATCCACACATGGGTACAATGTGTGAAGCCCATTTCTGGTGTCCCCCGCCGTGCAGTTGCTGGAATATTGCTAAAAGCGGCGTAAAACCAAACTCAGTCAGTCAGTCAGTTAATGGTTTTGCCCGTCGCGCTGAAGATCCGGGTTCGATTCCCCACACTTGTATATTGTGTGAAGTGCATTTCTGGTATCCCTCTGCATGAAACTGCTAGAATATTGCTGAGAGCGGCGTACAACCTTACTCAATTACACTGTCGGATATACGAATATTGAATTATTTCTGAGATGCTCTGAAAGTGTAACTGAATGATGGATGACGATTGAGTAAGCACAAACTACTGACTGCGTCTATTCTCATAAACGGAGATTTGATGTATTTTAAGGGACACACTGAGCGAAGCGGCCATAAAATAATCTGTTATTCGCCGGCTCTTGCTCTTAAACACCGAGTCGAGTAAATTTGACTTCAGTCGGTTGAACAGAGTTGCTCGCTTTTGCCCAAACCAGTTTTTCTGTTACATTTGGTTTCAGAAGTGTTTAAAACCAAAGTCTGACAACACGGCTTTTTCGGCAATCATCTATCTGCAATTTCTTACGGAGCAGGTCTAAACTGTGGCTGGTAGTACTCTTGTGACGTTTTTGCGGGCATTTTAAAGGAGGCTTGATTTCAGCCCAAAGAAACATTGGTCCCCAAACAGACTGCACATGTATTCAACTTGTATTCTTCAAAAAAATTAATAAAATGCAATAAAAGAGTGAGTATGGTTTTACGCCGATTTTAAGCAATATTCTAATAATACCATGGTGGGGACACAAGAAATGAGCTTCACACAATGAGCCCATGTGGGGAATCGAACCCTGGTTTTCAGCGTGACGAGTGAACGCTTTCACCACTTGGCTACCCCACCACCCGCTGAAAGGGAGAGTCGGGCTAGCACTCTCCTACCCAGAGTTCCATGCGTCAAGCCAGCATAGTATCTCTGCCACAGGCCAGAAAAATGTGACGATTCGTCACATCTTGCAATGTCCATTCAATATAATGTACAGATTACTTTAACTGTTTTATTTTTGACGAGTCTACACATCTAACTAAACATCTTTAATAGAATGGTTTAGTTTCACTGAGAAAATATCCAAAAACATGTAACACTATTTCGATTTGCGTAGCGATCCTTTGTTTAAATAGGTTGTACGGCTCCACGTGCTGTCATCGAAGCTGATGGAGAGCAAACGATGCAGCCAGTTTGATATCTAAATATGTACTGTCATAGACCTTACTGTCGCAGTTGTGGAATAATATATATGTAACAATGTAAAACATTATGAAGAGAGCGCCGAAAAGCTTTCGTGAGTCCAGTCTCTTCTTATTATGAATATGCGCGTTTGATTACAAACGAGAAAAGTCCGGTCACGTGATATGCAAATTAGCCTGTGGCCGTGATGTTATGTTAAGTCATCGCTGTGTTGGAGTGTGTCGGGCTAGTTGGTTAACATTCGTAACTCCTCGCCTCTTTCCGTGACCTAGGCTTGCCGGAATGACACGAGTAGTAACGAATGGTTGGTTAATTGATTCACCTCGTCTCATTGGATGTTGAAAAGATATCACGTGACATGTGGTACCATATTTGGAAGGTCGTGTTCTGCTGCTTCCTGTCCTATAATGCTTTCAGCTGAAGAGAATTTTACATGAAAAAAGTTTTTGGGAAGACAAAAGCGTATTTCATCACATAATGTATGTTGATTTAAATTTTGTTTTTTGTTTAGCTCCGCACTCAGCAATATTCCAGCTCTATGGCGGCTGTCTGTAAATGATCGAAGCTGGACCAGACAATCCAGTGATCAACAGCATGAACATCGATCAACGCAAGTGGGATAGGATGACATGTGTCAACCAAGTCAACAGGCCTGACCACCCGATCCCGTTAGTCGCCTCTAATTACGACAAGCATGGGCTACTGAAGGTTCATTGTAACCTGGACCTTCACGGCTCCTTTTTTATTGGAAATAGCTGAACCGAGCCTTACTGACGACCTGAGGATACCACCACTTCCCTTTCTCACAGACAAGACGTAAAGACTGGGTCCAAGGTTGAAAAGCGCAATCGGCAGTATCGGCAGACGGATTCCAAGTCAAAACCAAGGATTCTCATTTAGACATTACACAATTACTTAACCTCATTTCATGTACCACTAATATCAACTTCTTACGACAAGCATGGGTTGCTGATGGCCAATTCTAACCCGGATCTTTACGGGTGTGATATACTATGTAATGCAAGTAAGCGCGGCTGGCTAACTGATCACTTTTGTGTACGACAAGCATGGGCTTCTGGCGCCAAATTCTAACTGATGTCTTCACAGAGATAAAGTATAATGGCGTAAACTGTTACGCGTTGATTCCCAAATTCTAACGCCCAGGTTAACCCAGACATCGCTACGTACTGTACTAAATCGTGAAATCAGTAAACAACCAAAGAAATCAATGAACAAATCTTATCGATAAACAGCGGATTAAGTTCCCCATCTACAAGGAAATACGACAGGTCATGGCATGTACGTGACAACAGCAATATAAATATCTTTCCTTTCTCGAAAAAGAGTACATTCATTAACATTCAGCCATTGTCACACCCGGATATCAGGGACGTGCTCCTCTCTTGAATCTGGGGATCAGAGTTGGATTTTTGTTTTGTTTGCTATTTGTTATTTTTTAATGCAATACTCAGCGGTATTCCAGCTACATTGCGGCGGTCTGTAAATAATGGAGTCTGGGCAGGACAGTGATGGACATCGTGATCATCAATCAAACCAATTGGAGTACGATGACCTGTGTCAACCAGTTCAGCGAGCCTAGCCACCCGATTGCCTAAGATGAGGTTCACGACAAGCATGGGTTGCTGGAGACCAATTCCTGCTCGGGTCATCACGGGTCATCATTGTGGAAAACAGGCAGAGAAGTCGGTGTTATTTGATAGGTATTCCTTGATAAGATTTTAGGCAGGATCATGAAGTTCATAACTGCAAGCGCTGAGACCCAGCTCACTGCTCCCCAGATGGCAAGACCAGCATCGGCGTTATTTAGACCAGGATGGTAAGTGTTATGTAACGAGTGAAGAGCTGAGATGGTAAGACCAGGATGGTAAGTGTTATGTGAAGCGCTGAGATGGTAAGACCAGGATGGTAAGTGTTATGTGAAGCGCTGAGATGGTAGGACCAGGATGGTAAGTGTTATGTGAAGCGCTGAGATGGTAGAACCAGGATGGTAAGTGTTATGTGAAGCGCTAGGACCAGGATGGTAAGTGTTATGTGAAGCGCTGAGATGGTAGGACCAGGATGGTAAGTGTTATGTGAAAGCCTGAGATGAAGCAGGACCAGGATGGTAAGTGTTATGTGAAGCGCTGAGCGCCAGGAGTATGTGTTATGTGAACCAGGATGGTAAGTGTTATGTGAAGCGCTGAGATGGTAGGACCAGGATGGTAAGTGTTGTGTGAAGCGCTGAGATGGTAGGGACCAGGATGGTAAGTGTTATGTGAAGCGCTGAGATGGTAGGACCAGGATGGTGAGTGTTATGTGAAGCGCTGAGATGGTAGGACCAGGATGATTAGTGTTATGTGAAGCGCTGAGATGGTAGGACCAGGATGGTAAGTGTTATGTGAAGCGCTGAGAGCGGAGATAGGACCAGGATGGTAAGTGTTATGTGAAGCGCTGAGATGGTAGGACCAGGA